TGAATAATTTCTGTTCTAATAGGAATACAACTATGAATTATGAGTATAATGTATATATATTGACCTGCTGAAAACGATAGTGAGGATATTTCAATTTCGTATTAAATTGAGTAAGGCGTACATATCTACATATGCAAAAATTAAATTGCCGTCGGCAAATTTTGCGATATTTTCCTTATTTTTATCAATGTTATCAATTTACATTATGTTTACAAATTAACATACTGTTACGCTCAATTCTTTTAATTAACAGCAAGTTTTGCGAATCATGTGAGGAGTGTGGTACGATTACGTGAAACGAAGTAATCGTGCTTTTTGACAATTTCCACTCTGGTCCGTACTTGCACCTTCTCTATGTTATACGTTCTCTGCATCAGCTGCTTGTTGTCAGTTTACCGAATTGTATTTCTCGTGTGTGTTTTGCATTTATTTGCTGCATTGTGTGATTTTTACGAAATTTCTTGTTACTGAGCAAAAGAAGTGCATAATATAAGGAAAATTGTGTGTGCAATATAATCGTAAACAAAAGTGTGCAAAATAAAAGAGGTGCTTAAAGTGGGTGTTACGAAGTTGGCGTATATAAAACTCTAAGGTAATATCAGTGTAAAAAATTAGGTTATATAAGTTTATGAAATATTTAAACGATTCATTTTAGTTAATCAAACACTACTTTAATTATATGCATAAATTGTTTGTAAAATTAATCACAATAGCAACAATAGAAAAAAATCACAAGCCTATGAAAATAGTTGAATAAAGTAAAGTTTCGCAAACTTGTGTGCAATTGTAGACCTAGCCAACCACCTGCTGTTGACTTGCTCCATTTAACATGATAAAAGTGTAAACATTACACTTATTAGATATTTCATATAAAGCCAATTTGTTGTTAACACAATAAGCTCAAAATGTATTGCATTTTGCTTATCAAGCGCTACCTCACAATTTGCTATCTAAGGCGGCTAAAATACACTATGATGTCATCAATACATTAATGGCTTTTTCATTTTACAAGCCTTGTAACTGACAGAAAAATTGTTATGAGTGTGTGGTAAAAAGCAGATATTAGCTGATTTCCTTCATTATTAAAGTAACTCAATATAATAACTAATAGTACCTATAATAGAATTTATTGCAACAATTGGTATCCAATGCAGCGGTCTCTACATACTGGTAATTGCTGGATTTCAAAGACTTTTAAATGAAAATTGTGAAATGCAATGGAAAGAAAAATATTGTTAAAAACGCCAGTTAACAAACTTTTGATAGAAAAAAAATCTACTTCTTAACAGTCTCAGCACTTGCGCAGTGTGCCCACGAATTGGAATACATACTCATGTATACAGTATTTAAGAAATGAAACCACTTTTAATTTTTTGTTTTTAATTATTATTATTTATTTAATTTGTAATTTTAACCTGAATAATCGTAAATTCAGTTTCAGAAAACTTCTTTTGCTTTCTAATTTTGTTTGCTCATCACTCATATGTTTTAACAGTTTGCATAAAGCTTTCCATAGGCCTTTTGCTCATCACTTGGTTTACCACCAACGCCTGTGGTGAAGATTTGCGTCTTAATTTTTTTCTTTTTTTTTTTAATTTTCACAATGAATTAAAATTTGATTTTCTTTTAAAATTAGGGTTCTATTTAAAATTGAAAGTTGTTGTAGTAGTAGTCGTATTGTAGTTTTCTAATGATATAGCGATGTCTCTTTATTTTTATTTTTTATTTCTATTTTCTTTCATTTCATTAATTGGGAATTTGCACTTTTACATTTTATAATAATTTACCTACATACATAAAGAACTATTGAATGCATACTACAATGAATCATATACATAGATATTTTTTTTATAATTTTAATTTTTTTGTTTAATAAATGTTACATTTGATTTTGCAAAAAATACATTTTCACTTTTACATGGTAAACAATTTAAACAGTGTATGCGTGCATCTATTTAAATATATATATTATTTTTTCACATTGTTTTTGCACAAAAATAAATATTTCTCACAAATATAGTAGCTTATGTATTGTACTTAAAAAATAACCATATGCATCTGTATTTATTTATTAGGTATGTATGTTTGTTTGTATATACTTTCAAGCAATACTCAAGTTATTCATCTTATAAGCTGTCCCCCTGACTTAACCACTAGCTAACTACGTAATGCACACTTATGATTACTCCTATGGCCAGCTAACATAACTGACGACCCACCACACATCCACACAGCCCCATTTAGTCAAGCGATCGACGACGCAGCTGACGCCCGCGTTGATTGTTAGTGGCACGATCGAGTATTTCATTGGAGATCCGCGCCAACAATGGCAATTCACGCATGGACACATTCACCGCTGGCAAGGGACCCAGTTTCTGTTGCAACTTCTTTATCGGCTGCACAGCATGTTCGGGCGTAGCTGGATAACTTGCAACACCGGCTTCTTCGGTGTGTTGCTGTTGTACGGTTTTAGCATGTGTGATTTGTACGCGCGGTCCCACTTTACCCGTTACCACAACTACATCAACATCATCTTCATCATCCTCTTCCTCCAGCACCGCCGCTGCCGGCTTAGCGTGTACAACATCGTAGATTTGTGGTGGTGCTTCGGCGCCCAAAGAATCGGGACGTACGCCAGCGCCAGGCACTTCACGTTGCCCTAGATGTTGTTGTTTGTGTTGCTGCTGCTGATGTTGTTGTTGTTTTATTTTCAGTTGTTTCTGTTGCTTTTGCGCCGCACATTCATTCATTAACATCAATTGATCTAATTTATTGACAGTGGCAGTCAACTCATTTTCCCACATATCATTGCGCTGCTGCTCACCATCACCACCCTCAATAGGTCGTACTGCGAGTATTTTCACCTTTTGGCGTAATTCTTCGAGATCACGTTCATCAACAACGCCATTCAATTCGGTGCTATCCGCATAGTCAGCATCGCATTCCTCCATCTCGGACTCGTCACCAGCAAGGCTGTGACCAATGGACGCGGGCTGTGTGCTGACACTCACCAAATCGCTGGAACGATGTGAATTGCCGCTCAGCGACATTTGGCTGCCGGCAATCGAGGGGTAATCGCATTTCTCCAGCTCCAATTGATAATCGGGCAAAGAAGGCAGCGTAGTCGTTGTTGGCGAATTCAGTTCTGCACCAACACCAGGCTCGCGTGGTCCCGGCGGTGGTGCGCCCATTTGTGGATAATCACCACGCTGGCGATGTATGTCATCGCTGATGCGTTCCAGGTTGCGTAGCGCTGTCGAGTAAGTGCTTTTAGCTGTTTGCACTTGCTGTTGTAGTTCTTGTATGCGCTCCTTTTGAGTATGTAATTGATCTTGGCAGATTTGTTTTTCTTCGAAGTAGGGACGTGATTTATTTATGCTCCGGCGGAACCGTTCCTCAAGCTGTTGGACCTGAGGGGGAGAGAAAATAGAGATAAAGAGAGAGAGAACATACATATATATAAGTAAGCTATTTCTCCAGCGCATAACACACAACCATGCCGTACCTTCAGCTCAGCATCATTGAAGATTTGCGTAAGCTTTTGATGTTCTGCATGGCATTCTGCTTTTTGTTTCTCCGCATCCATGACCTTTTGTGTGGCATGATTCAACATTTCCTGCCAGGCATTATCGAATTGCCATTCGTGTGAGTTGGACATGAAGCGTTGTTCGGCTAAAGCTACGGTTTCCTTGGCGGCGGTGTGAATTTCTGTGTGGCAGAAGAAATTAAAGAAGTGCAAATTTAATTTTACGAGAAATCTTTTTCACTTATTTTTTTTTTTAATTTTAATTTTTTTTTTTTTAATATAAAAATAATTATTTATTTTCTTTTATCTGCCGTCTCTTCACTCACCATTGGCACGTTGAAATTTCACCGCTGCTTTTTGGCACTCAATTTGTGCTTTTCGCGCTGTTTCCAAAGCCTCATGGTATGGTCGTGCTTTCTCAATGCAACTACCTAATTTTTTTGATGATAATTTAAGGCGGCGTGTGGATTCATTTAAAAGTATGCGGAACGTGGAATTTGCTTCCTGCAAAGAAAAAAAAAATAGATGAAATAAAAAGAAAATATTAAATTAAAACAAAAAAAGCTAGATTTCATAGCTTGAAGCTCTTTAATGTAGGCAAAAAGGTAACGGACCAGCAGGTCTATGTACGGCGTACGAGCCGGTCTGTGTATCCTTAATTAACCTGACATAAGTCTCAATCGAACTAAATTAAAGTCAGTAATTTATATAACACCCATGAGAAGTGTTTATAAACATAAATGAAATGAACTATTTAGCGCCTAAAAGTATGCCACGATTTTTTGAAAAGCATACATCGAAATATGCAATTTTTTCTATTTACCTCTAATTCTATTTCGAGTTTATTAATTTCATCTGTTGCACTATTGAGATTCTCCAATTCGATCTGTAAATGAGAGAAGAAAATTATTTTTAATTAAAATATCAAACTTTTTTTTTTTATTTAAACAAAATAAAATATTTTTGGACATAATTTCAGACTTTAATAATTTTAAATGACTAAAATTGAAATAAAACTAATTAAAACAAAATTTGTTAAAAATGGAAACATAATTAATTAATAAAATTTATTAATATAAATATGTATGTATTTACGATATTCACTAAAAAAAATTATATAGAAATTATCGTTAATTTAAAAAAAAAATTAGAAATTTAACTTATAAATTATCACCATTAAATAATCATAAATTTAATTATTTATAAAATTAAAAAAAAAAATCTGAAATTTTTTGGATTTTTTTTTTTAAATATATAATTTTTATTATTTGTACTCAGATAATATAATTTTAATTTTATTTTTTTTTTAATTTCTTACAGTCATCGCTCTTCACTTTCAAATTATTTAAAAGGCAATAGAAAGCAGGAAAAAGCTTCTAAGTTGACCAGATATTAACAGCAAAATGCCGAGACACACGAGAACTGTAAAGGAGCAGGCCAAGGTGGATTTGTCTAAAATACCGGTGAGTTTTTGCGTACCAAAGTTTTTTTTTTTTTTTTAAATATATATATATATTTTTTTTTTTTTTTTTTCTTTTTTTTTTGTAATAAAAATTCTATACACTATTTATTATCTCCTTTCACAGGCACACGTGGAACGTGTAAACGTTAGTGGTCTGCTGCGCACGCACAATGATTATGTTATGAAAGCAGCTGAAGGTCTCTTTAAAGCAAGAAATTTTCAAGATGTCATGATCGAGTCAATGAAGTAATTATAATGAAAACAAAAATAATTAGAAATATCTTATTTTAATATTAACAACAACTTTGTTATTTAAAATTCACAGCGCCAAATCCTACCTACACGAATTGGGCATTTTCAAGGACGTGCAAGTACGTATCGATGTCAGCAAAGGTGAGAATGCCTCACCAAATGGCTATGAGATTACATTGAAGGGTCAAGAGCTGTCACGGCTGGTCGGCTCTGTTGGCACTGAGGTGGGTCAAAATGAGGGTTCGCTACGCACTGAGCTGAGTATACCAAATATATTAGGACGTGGTGAAAGTATTTCACTGCAAGGCTCCTATGCCACAACACGTGCCAATGAATTACAATTGAAGTTCTGGAAATCATTTTTCCATACGCGTTTCGTAGAAAATCGGCCAGAGTAAGTGGTTTTTTTTTTTATGTATGTAAATGTTGTAAATATTATGACTGATGGAAATTTAATTTATGCAGAGTCTCCTTCTCCATCTTTCGGCATGTGGATCGCATGGATGTGAGCTCGTTTCAAAATGCTAAATCGGGTTTTGTTGCGGATTTTTCTGTGAATACCCTGTTACCATTTGAGGTAAGCAATTTTGTTTTTGTAATCGTTTTATCTGTAGGGTACGCTGTTAAATACTTTGTATTTTACTTTTAAAATATTTTTTGTTTAATTTCCTATTTCATTTTATTTTTGTTTCAATTTTTTATTTTTTGTTAATATTTATATTTTATTTTTTTATATTTTTATTTTATTTTATTATATTGTTTGATATTTTTATTTTATTTTATTATATTTTTTTATATTTTTATTTTATTTTATTATATTTTTATTTTATTTTATTATATTTTTATTTTATTTTATTATATTTTTATTTTATTTTTTTATATTTTTATTTTATTTTTTTATATTTTTATTTTATTTCACTTTATTTTATTACATTATTTTATTTTTTTTTCTTTTAATATTTTTTTTTGGTTTTTTTTTTACTTTCTTTAATATTTTAATTCTATAATTTTTTTGTTATTTAATATTTAATTACTTTATTTTTTAATATTTCTTACTATTTGATTTCTACTTTTTTTAATATTTTTTCATTTCATTTTTTTGTTTAGTTCAATTTAATTATTTTTATTTTCTATTTAATTTTTTATATTTCTATTCAATTTTTTTTTTTTATTTTATTTTTTACATTTTTTTAATTTTTTTTATATTTTTTCATTTAATTTTTTTATATTTTTTCATTTAATTTTTTTTTTATATTTTTTCATTTAATTGTTTTCATATTTTAATCTATAAATTTAATTTAAATTAATTAATTTAATATTTTTATTTTATTTTTTTACTTTTTTTATTTTAATTTTTAGTTTTTTTTAATATTTTTCCATTTTTTTAATGTTTTAATGATTTCTTGTTTTTTATTTTCTTTTATATTTTTATTTTATTTTTTTCATAGTTATAGTTTTTTTAAATATTCATTTTATTATTTTTATAATTTTTTGTTTTATTTTATTGTTTTAATAACTAAGCCATTAATTAATTATTTTTATTAATATTTTTTATTTTATTTTGTAATATTTTTATTTTATTTTTATTTTATTTTATTTTTTAATATATTAATTTAATCTTTTTATAATTTTTTGTTTAAGGTTTAGTTCAATTTAATTATTTTAATAAAAATTTTTTAATTTTTTTAAATTAGTATTCAGTTTTTTATATTTTTATGCAATATTTTTATATTTTTATATTATTTTATATTTTAGTTTTTATTTTATTTTTTTCTTTCGCTTTTTTATTTCCTTTCTTAATGTTTTAATTCCATCCAATTTTTATTATCTAAGTTTTTACTTTTTTTGTTTAATATTTTTAATTTTTGTTTTACTTTATTTTTTTAATATATATTTTTTTCATTATTTTAATGTTTTTATTTTATTTATGTATTAATATATTTTTTAATGCTTTTAATTTTTTTAAATATAACATTTAGAAGAATAAATTTATTTATATTTTATTTATTTTTTGAAAGAAGATTAATTCCTACATTATTTTTAATTTNCCAGAGATCGTACCCGAAGGATCTAGAAAATAATCGAGGTTGATTTAGTAAAATCGTAACAATATATAATACGTGCGGAGTTTTCCAGCAAAAATCTAAAAACTCGTAATGATCCATACCCACTTAATTTTGATATAATTCTAGCTAAAATTATTGACCCAGAAACAGGAGCTTCTACATGAGCTTTTGGCAATCATAAATGAACTAAAAATATAGGTGTTTTAACTAAAAAAGCTAAAATTATAGCTAAATACAATACATTTTTATTTATTGTCAAATTATATATTTAATTATGATGCGGAGTTTTCCAGTCTTGAAACGGACGCGTCCCCAGGTGGCGGGTAGGGGGAGACCCGGTTGATATACAGGGTAGATGGGAAATTAAATACCATCCGCGGACCAAAACTGGAAAAACCCAGTGAGAAGTGACAACTCTTTCGGGCGTAGCGAGCACGCGAATCACGCTGAACCTCACGAAGGGCTAACCCGGTGAGTGCAAATTCGTTCCTAATATTGTATATTACAGGAAGCCTCGGACGAGCGCCGTAACGATCAGAGACGGCTTGGGAAACTAGAGCATGATCAACTAATTAACGAAACTACAACATACCGAGTGCTTAATTGGTTAAATCAATAACCACCAGAGCTGTCTCCCCCGAAACGCATAAATGACAGTAAAAATGAACGAGTATCACTAGGGTACTAGAGATCACACACGAAACTCGGCAAGAACCCAATAACAGTAGCAACAATCGTAATTACGCTTCAGCAACAAATATAGCAAATAAGCCCGCTGAGTTGTACATAAACCTAAATTTTGAATTTCAAGCAGTGATAACAGAATTCGCTGGACTGTTCCAAAATAAAGCCCCACTAGAAAAATAGCGATGACAGTTAATTGCATGAACACTCGAATTTCGCCAGCATATTTGAGAGACAACGTGCACACATTTAATGAGTTACAAACTACGGTTTACGTTGCAGATGTCGCAATTGTGCGTTCCCTTGGTGGAAAAATCAAACCAAGGAATAATTTTAATTCTGTTAAAAATAAGTTTGTCCCAGCTTGGAAACATCGTCTTGTACGTTAGGTTGAAGACCTACGAATGCAACTTGGTCGTGTGACTCAATACAAAAAGGGAAACACAAGTGCAAAATTATTAAAGTCGTTTGAAAAAATTATGGAAACTTAAGTACAGCTGAGCACTTACGTGACACATTGCGGCGAAAAACTTTCGCTAAAAGTAAATCGACTGGTCTGATATATTTACATTATCAGGAAAACGCAAGGAAGCAAACTCTACTTTTCAGCGAAATGAAAAGTTTTTCTATAGACGCATTAGAGAAAAAATGCTAAATGTCAATGGACTATGGATAAGAAAAGAACACGAAAACGGTGAACGAATTAAAGTAATGGACAATATCACTATAATAGAAAAAGATATAAGCAACGCCATCAAACAAACGCATAACTGGAAGGCAATAGGCCCCGACAATATTCACAACTTCTGTATTAAGAAATTTACCAGCATTCACGAATATATCGCCCAATTGTATACATCTTTTCTACAGGACACCGCAAAATTACAAAATTTTTTAACTAAAGGGCAAGCTTATCTATTGCCAAAAGACAAAAATAATACTGAAAATCCGGCGAAATACCAGCCAATTACATGTTTATTTACTTTTTCTAAATTATTAACTGCCTGTGTAGCAAATAAAATATACCACCACTTGGTGACTGAAAAAAATTTGGCTGTAGGGCAAAAAGGTTGTGTAAAAACGCACAGGGTTATAAGGAGCAACTAGTTATAGACGCCATTATAATGGAGCAGGCATACCACAAACAAAGAAACATATATACAGCATACATTGATTAGCTTATGGTAGCGTACTTCATTCATGGCTTTTAGAAGTGTTGCAGTGTTGCGCATATACAAAATAGCCCCATATATTTTAAATATTGCTAAATATTTAATGAATAGTTGGGATACGACACTAGCAGTACGCGTAGTGCTGTTAGATTTTTATAATTGAAAATTGAAATGAATACAAAAAACCCAGAAACCCGACTTCGGTGACGACTCTCATTCCTGCGTTTTCGCCTAATATTTTATCTATGCCAACCTAGCAACATTTTCCAAGGGCTTCGCGCAGGACGTAGCCGAACGCATTGTGATTCCACAAAACCTTAAGCCATCAGGTTTTATCGTCCATCCATTTTGATTCCCTATTGAACCTCATTTCCGCCATGTCATTCCACCTTGTAGCCGCTTGTTCATATATGAATTTCTTGAGAAGCAGTTCGCATATAGCAAAAGGCATATCAATGCGATATTTATCGAGAAGAATTTGCTGGGTCGTACCTCGTGATCAGGGACCAATATGAGAGAAAGTCTGTTCTGTTTGACCATCTCCCGTAGAGATCGGCGACAGTTCAGCATAAATTTAAAGTTTAGTCTGACTATCGCTGAAAATTAAGATTATTATTAAAGTTGGAACTAATTTGCTTTGCAGCCTCCATGATGATCTTCGCCTGGAAAACACTGCAATGGTCGGGTAGCCTGAACGAGAGTTCCATCGCATTGTTTTCTGAGAAGACACCTTCGCCAACTTTCTCCTCAAGCTTTGACCCGTCCATGAACATTTCAAAGCTATCCTTTGGAGTATTATATTTATTATATTTATCTATCAATTCTTCCCTGGTGGGAGTTCGTATTCTAAAGTGGTTATCAGTTCATACTATTGGCCCACATCTATATAACCTGGTATGAAGTCGTATTTACCCAATATTTTCGAGTGTCCTAGAAATTTTGGGTGGGTTGATAGCGAGGATCTTGTATCTCCTTGTAAATAGTACTAGTTCTATTTTGTTTGAGTTGAGACAGAGGCCACATTGGGTAGTCCCGGAGCTAGGTAGGACTAGGACAAAAATCGCTTAAACGGTTGCAAAGCTTTGTAGAACCTGAGTTGGTCCTTGTATCTCTTCCAGTCTCTTTGCTTTATTGAAGAGCTTCCTACAGTTCCTTCGGCGTGTGTCCAGTTCTTTCGACAAGCAATGCGATTTGCGCTTTCCTCGCCGCATGTGCACTGGTCATGTTGGACTCAGAGCTTCGGAACACTTCATTGAGAACTTTCCAGCTTAAAATATAGTCGCGAAGTTTTTCACGGCGTAGTATTAGATCTACGACATCTTCACGGTTTTTATTAATAAACGTTGGAGCCCTCCCTCTAATACATATTACTAAATTCGCGGATAAGAGAGTAAAAAGGTGACTCACCTCTTCCGTTGATGTTTGTAAAGTCCTATTGAATGGTGGGAATTGACGACACCTGCCGTGACATCGCCATCGCTTTAATTAGGTTACCTTTGCTATGCTCCAGAACTAGCTTCGACAGTCCTCAAACCACATACACTTGAGTTAACCACCGAAATTTCCGCTGAGGACACTTTGGACTTGCAGTATCCCCATATGAGGTTGCTACCTACCCCACAGCTACAACGGTGACGTCAGCTCTGAACTCTTCGTCGCTACACAGCACATAAAAACATTATAGAGCCTCTGCAAGGTTTGGTTGAGATGAGGCTCCACTCTCAGTA